TAGGTACAGAAGCCATTGTCAGATTGGAAGAATTTGCCTACGGCTGTTCAGGTGTTTGGCCAGTAGGAGGCAATAACAGGTAGATTGAAATGGCCTCAGCTGTCTGGCAGCAAGCAATCATTCTTTTCAGGTTTGGGGAAATGCCCTGAGCCGGTCCCAACAGGCGATAACATATGTGACTGAGCCCTTGTTGAGTCCCCAAGTTCCATCAACCTTTTGATGAAATTCTTGCAATTATGACATGCTGGAACTGGCTTCCGGCAGATGGGGAATTGTTGCCTTTCTGTCCCCGGTGGTAGACACTGCCATTTTCATCGCTCTCTTCAGTGGAATGGGTCAGGACATAGTAATGCAAAGACTTTTTGTTGGTGGACCACTTCTCCCCGTGCACCATGATATAAAATCCCCCTCTTCCTGAACTAAGTTGAAATGAAAGGGAATCACCATTAATTTTTATATAATCTAAGGGTCATTAGTGCTTTTCTCATGCCTTTAATTACTCTTATTTTCCTCCTTATTTACTCTTAATGTCTCAATTCATGGCATGGCAAGGGAAGTAAGGGTTTCAAATGCAGCCAGTCATTTCCCCCCATTCTTTACACTTTTGGAAAAGGATAAAATACTTGTAATGGCAGTGATTTTTAAAAGACAAAGTTTAATATAACATAGACAGCTTCCTCCTAAACCATTTTTTAAAATCTACAGCTAAAAAATTAACAATCCATTCCAGTACCCTCTAGGTCTACTTTGAAATATTATTAACATGCTTTAAATCAACTGAAAATTAGAAGCACAGGGTTTCCCAGTTCAAAGAGACCTTAATAGAACTAGTCATTTGTACATAAGAAAATTGAGGCTTAAAGAACTTGAGAGAGTTCTCCCTGGTCCCGTCACAACCATGGGAACCTTTTGTCGTTTCAGCAGTAGGACCACGTTCCTCCCAGAACAAGAAGAAAAGATCTGTGTGTTTTTGTGAGAAAAAATTGCCTTGGGCTTTTTATACATTGAAAAATTAAAACAGTCATGATAGGACAAAACTTGAATTTTGGAGAAAGGGGCAATCTTAGGAGCTATTAAATAGGAAGATATATGAAAAGATGGGACAGTAATTTATGGGGCGCGGTACAGTGTTTTGGCCAGGTTCAAGTCTCGAACTAATGAAAGGACAGGGTCCTCTCATTGCCACGTGCAAGTCCCAGCTGGAGGGCAGGGCCCTCCCAGCACAATTATAGCCAACAGCTATGGTTGTAAGCTTGAGCCTATGGTCCGAACACGTGACCCCATGTGCCTTGCGCTAGAGTTCAGGTGCATGTAGTTGAGTAGGGTTGAAACCAGGGGTGGGCAAACTTTTTGACTCGAGGGCCACAATGGGTTCTTAAACTGGACCGGAGGGCCGGAACAAAAGCATGGATGGAGTGTTTGTGTGAACTAATATAAATTCAAAGTAAACATCATTACATAAAAGGGTACGGTCTTTTTTTTTTTTTTTTTAGTTTTATTCATTTCAAATGGGCTGGATCCGGCCCGCTGGCTGTAGTTTGCCCACAGCTGGTTGAAACTCACGAAAATGCTGTAAACAACTTGATCACGCCCCTACTTTGCTCATGGCATCTGCTATAAAATAAAGACAAGGCTTGTGGGTGCTGGCGCTGTCTCCTCATCCGGGAACAGCGTCCCACCGAGACCCAGCTCTCATTCTCTTGTCTGTCCTTTCTCAATCCTTTCACCCCCCCACTCAGGGTCACTGAACCAGGCTGAGCTGGCGTGGCACATAAGGCGCCCTGGGGCTGAGTATGCCATGGCCGTGCCAGCTCCCCACAGTAATTTCTTGGTAACGGGTGCTTTGAAATTTTTAATATTTGGCCTATTTTTGTGATGAAATTGAAATATTTTGACACTAAGATCCAGTCTGGCTGTTTAGCTGGCATATTATTGTAATGTTGACTATTTTGGATGTCCTGAACTGTCAACAGTCTTTCCCCCCCCCTTATAAATAGTTAACTTTAACTTATAGCATGGGAAATGTATTTGGGGAAACGGATGATGCTAGCAGTAAAACCCTCAGATACACCCAGGCTCCCCTGATCCTGTTGGCACTGCTGACAGACTCTCCTGCAAAACCAAAATGCACAATTGAGAGACATGAGCCAGTGCTGAGAGGACGAGATTGCTCCCATCCTATAAACCCATATCTCAGTCAAAAGTCACTTCATTTTCCATATCCTCGGCGTGCATGCTAACATGTAATGACACACAGTTGAAAAGGCCCAGTATCCCCTATTTTTCAGCCTCTGCGTTAGGCACTTATATTTTTCAACACTAGAGGGCCTGAGGGTTCAGGAAGGGGAGAAGAGGAAGGCGGAATAAACAGGAAGGCATAGCAACTTTAGAAATTCCCAAGGAATGAAATAAAGGAAAGGCGATCAAAGGGTCAGTTTAATTACTGATGAGAGCTGATTTAAAGGATGGGGCTATGTCTATGATGAGCAGGAATAACGGGTTTCTTAATATTGACCTCTAAAAATAGACATGCTTGCCCCTCCAGGCAGCACAGAACAGCTCTGCCTCTCCTGTGTGGGCGCCCCTCCCTGTAGGGTGCTCAGCGCCTGGTGTTTGCTCCTAGGATGAAGAAGGGGGATGGCACTCAGCCACACAAGCTTGCCCCTCCCCCCAACTCAGTAATCAGATACTGTGGGGAGGAGCTAGAGGCGGAGTTTCCCGGAAACATCCCTTCTTTAGTGCTGGTAGGAAGTAAGTGTGCCCTTCCTCCTGGTAGAGGAGAGAGGGGGTTACAAAGGGATGGGCCCTTTTGGATCCTCAAGGGCCATATCTGAGAAGTTAAATTTTCTGTATCTGGGAAGTTGAGAGAATAAAAGGAGACATATGTAAAGCTCTGGGTATCACGACTCGTTTGCTGTAAGACAGAGGAAATGCAAAAAAACCCCCAAAAAACCCAACACACACAAAAAACAAACCACAAAAAAAACCAATTTCATTCAGTCTTCTACGTGGATACTTCTACATGTTCTTCTTTGCCCTATTTTACTTGTGATTTGGATAACCAGGTAATGATGGAACTAGTCTCTGAAATAGGGTAAATATAAGAAAGGTTTGTGAGGAATAGTGAGTTCCATTTCTGACCTACTGAACATGAGATACCTGTGCCAGAAATTATAGGCACTTGGATTTATGATTTTTGTAATGCAGGATAAAGTGAACTAGTTAATTTGCAACTCAGTTTAGAAATTAAGCAGGTAAACCCCTTTAGAGTGCTGGAGACTGACCCTGAAGAGCATACGATCCCAGGAATCAGCAGAGGGCAGGAGCCACTGAGGAGAGTGGGCAACATGGAAGTCAAGGAGAGGGACCATTTCAGGAAGGAGGGACGAGTCCATGTGTCAGATGCTGCAGAGGGATCGGGTCAGGTAGGATAGGAAAAGAAAACAAATGAAGGTGTAGATAAGGCCATAGGCATTATAGCTCTCAGGTAAGGAGCACTTACTATATGCCAGGCACTGTGCTGTTTTATTTGCTCATGGACAATATCAACTTAATTCTCAAACCATTACCCACATTTATAGATTAGGAAAATGAGAGTCTCAAAAGTTTAGTGCCAGCTTGACTTAGGTCACATAGCTAGAACATGACATAGCTTAGACTCGGAGCCCTGCCATCTGACTTAAGTACTGAGCTCCCCTTCTTTCTGGAAGACTTGCTTTTGCCCATGTGTTTGGGGAGCATTGTGGGTTGAGAGGGAGGCAGGCGTGAAGGGAGGAGAAAGAAAGGACAGCAAGTGGAAGAGGGTAGGCTGAGGTTTGCCTCGCTTGTTGGTTGGTTTGCTTTAAGACAGCAGAGGCTTCTGCACTATTAAATGATGAGAGGGGCTCAGAAGAGAGCCTGAGAGCGGAGACATTCAGGGAAGAGGTAGAGGCAGTGGGCAGGTGTGCCTGTGGAGCAGGTAACCTTGGGAAGGAGAATCCCTCCTCCTCTGTAACCGGATAGAGCAGAAGTAATTGAACTTGTAGTTTAATGTCAGAACTTTGAAGTAGTTATCTTCAGATTATTCTCATTTCTCTCTGTCCCTCCCTCTTCTCCCCATTTCTCACCACCTGTCCCCTTCTCTGTCGGGAACATCCAACTTCCCCGTTAAGGTTTCACCCTTGTCACTCTCGCGTGCCCTCAGTCAGGACTGTTTCCTCTGGGCTCCCAGGAACCTTTGATAGCTGTTCAATCCACAGGCACGGCTGTGTGTGCACCGGCAGGACCCACTCTCACCTGCTGGCTGTCCCTTCATGCTAAGGAAGCACGAGGAAGCTCACTTTGTTCTAAGATCTGGAGTCACTCTGCAGGAGCTTATGGTTTTGAAGGGGACAAAGATGAGTGTGCAAATTATTATAATAAAAGTCGTATGCGAGAAGCAAGAGTGCTTCGGACTTCAGTTGGGGGAGTGGAGCAAGGAAGAGAGAGAGAGAGAGAGAGAGCACTTGCATGAATGATAGGCAGAGAAACTTCAGAAGGAGTGTGGTTTTGAGCTAGATGTTGAAGGATGGACATATTTTCATCTGACAACCGTAAGGAGCAGGCTATTTAATTTGGGCAAAGTAGCATCAGAAATGGCACAAAGCTTTTTGGGGAACATGGATGGTCACTGGCTGAAGGATGGACTGAAGATCGGAAACATTGTAGATATACTAAAACATGGTTTTAAGCAGCCTTTTGCACTTAGCCAACAAGTTTTTCATAGGCGTTTAGAAATAACTACCATTTTCATTCCAGAAACTAGCCATACCAATATTCACACAGTCCCTGACAACACCTTGGAGCGTATAAGGGAAGTCTGTGTCGCACTGGGGGTGGGAAGGTGAACCAGCCGTGAGCCTGCTCATGCAGGTGTAGCATTGGGACCAACACCAGCTTTCTCACTACTTATAAATTACTATTCTTAATAACTATTTCTAGACAAAAGTAAAATGAAAAATAAAACCTCTGTTTTCTTTCAGTTAAGAAAAAGAAGCCTAAACTATTAAATAAATTTGATAAGACTATTAAAGCTGAACTTGATGCTGCAGAAAAACTCCGTAAAAGGGTAGGTTGATGTTTTTGTTTTGCACGGAAATGTGCAGCGATTAAGTGTTAAATAAACTCAGGCATTACTCTTGATTTGTTTTAAAAAAATGTTCAGAGAAACAACCTTTGAATAGAGGGGGTTTTTCCCCAGCGACATCAGTTTTACATGTGAAAGGAATCAAATGAAAAGAAAAATTGCAGCTGTGATGGCCAAATAGAAATAATAGAATTTACCTTCAAGCCAGCTGACTTGGGAGTCAGCCCACTTCCATCACATTCGAGTCCTGTGGCTTTGGGCAAATCACTTAGCCATTCTGAGCCTCGGTTTTAAAAAATGAGAATAATAATCATACTTCCTATTTGGTTTTTTGGTAAAGATCAAATGAGATTAGGGGGAAAGCATCAATACTATCAAGTACCATGTAAGTGGAGGTTTTAATATCACAGCACTTCAATCCAAAAGAAAAAATAGGTAAGTCCAGTTCTCAGGGTTAAAAGACATTAGGTTTCGCATTCATCTCACTTGGGGTTAACTGCAGGCACTTCCAGTTTTCAGGGTGGCTTTTATGTTTTGCTTTGTTATCAGTTAATTTGAAATATTATTTACATTTGTTTCTGGATATCACAGCGGTGTGGTGTTGTTGGGTATTTTTGTTTGTTTTTGTTTTTTGTTAATCTTCACCTGAAGATATTTCCCCCATGATTTTTAGAAAGAGTGTAAGGGAGGGAGAAACATCGATGTGAGAAAGACACATTGATTGGTTGCCTCCCACACGCACCCCAGTCGGGGCCCAGGAACAAACCTGCAACCCAGGTATGAGCCACTGAGACACTATACCACTGAGCCACACTGGCCAGGGCTAGATATTACAGTTTTTTAAAACTGTGAATTGACACAGATGGAAGTTATTTGTAGTCTTAACTCAGTCATATTCATCTAGTATTGGGCCAGATAGTTATTGTATGTAATGACATTTTCCCTTAATCATCTACTTGTTCTTCATGGAAATTTCTCTTCCTCTACTCTGTACTTGAATTTATACTCAGTGTAATGCTCTAGTTTTCCTGTAATATCCTCTTTCTATCAGTAGACTTTGGTTGCAAGAAAAGGGACCTTGGACTGTAAGTAAATAAGCAACCACAATAAAAAAAGAAAAACAAGAAACTGACATGGGACAAGAATGTGCTTCCCACACATTTATTGGGAATGTACCAGCAAGTATGATGGCTTCTGCATTACCCTCATTACCAGCCAATAAAAATATAGTAACACCAAAGAATATTGCAGCCATTGTTCGCTAAATTAACCCCATGGAATGACTTCTGAGTCCATCATGTTCAACTCTATAAAATGAAGCCATCTACTATTTTTAGGAAATTTGCATTTCTTAATAGAAGTGAAGCAGGAACCCTCTTTTTCTATCACCTTCCTTGGCATTCTTCACTTCCTCTGTATTAAATGCCATCTATGCAAATGTGGAGTGCCTGTTAATAGGTGACTTTGGGGATAAAGAACAAACAGCTTCAGAGAGGGATTTTGATGTAATTATAACGCATGGAGACGGCTCAGTTATCAAGGGGCAAATAGGTCAGGAGGACATAAACGTGCTGAACAATCCATGGAGTATCCTCTGGCTTTTGCTTATTTGGAGAAATGATGCTTTCCTTAAGCGCCCTGTATCTATAACAGGATAAATGAAGGAGGAGGAAGTGGCCACGTAGGCTATTCTTGCTTCTGAACAAGGGGGAGCCAAATTATTGACAGAATCATCAATTATTGACTAATTAAGTCTTTTAGGGTTGTTTTAGAGCTGGCATTTTCAAATGATGCAACTGACTCCACTGGAAGAGCAGGGTCCCAGCTGCAGGATTGTGAGAGTGTTACCTTGCAGCCACAGGAAGCTAATGCAGGATACTTAGAAAAAAGTCACAGAGGAAAAGATATTTAACATGAATTCTTCATTCCTTAAAGTCATTCACAGAAGAAATAAACCAGTGGTTTTAAAAACGAACTGTTATCCAAAATACAAAGACCTCGGAAAATTAAACAATAAGAAAACAAATAATGATTAAAAAACAGATCTTAACAGACATTTCTCCAGATGACTAAAGGTGCCCCAAGTCACATGTTATCAGGGAAATGAAAATTAAAACAACAATGAGGTACCACCGCACACCCATTAGATTGGCCAAACGCTGATCACTGACAACACCAAATGCTGACAAGGTCGTGGAGCACAGGAGCTTTCATTTATTGCTGATAAGAATGCAGAATAGCACAGCCACTTTGGAAGACAGTTTTGTGGTTTCTTACAAAAGTAAACATACTGTACAATCCAGAAAGCCTGCTCTTTGATATTTATTTACTCAAAGGAGTTGAAAGCTTACATGCACATAAAAACCTGTACATGGATGTTATAGCAGCTTAATTCATAACTGCCCAAACTTGGAAGCAACCAAAATGTTCTTTAGTAGGCGAATGGATAAATTAACTGTGTTATATCGAGCCAGTGAAATAATACTCAGCACTAAAAAAAAAACCACAAAAAAAACACAAAAAAAACCCCAGGAATATCAAGCCATGAAAAGACATGGAGGAACCTTAGATGCATATTATTAAGTGAAAAAAAAAAGCTAATCTGAAAAGGCTGGCTACTGTATGATTCCAATTGTATGACATTCTGGAAAAGGCAAAACTATGGAGACGTAAAAGGATCAGTGGTTTCCTGGGATGAGTGGCGGGCAGGGGAGAGGGGAGAGGGTAGAGGGATGACTAGGCAACTCGTAGAAAAAGTGTAGGGCTGTGAAACTACTCTGCATCATACTATAATGGTGGATACAGAGAGCGTGCATTTTTTTTATCTAAACCCCTAGAATGTACACCACCAAGAGTGAACCCTAAGGTACATCCTGGACTTTGGGTGGCGATGCTGTGTCAATGTAGGTTCATTGGTGGTAACAAGTGTACCCCTCAGGTGCAGGGTGCTGATCAGTGCTTGTGTTGGGCTTCGGGCATATGTGAAATCTCTATATTCTCTCCTCTCAATTTTGCTGTGAACCTAATACTGCTCAAAAAATGAATACTGTGAGAGGGATAGCAGATTTTAAATAGTGATACAATTACTTCTGACAATAAATATCACTAAGAGAATGTGTTCCTGGCTTGATTTAGCTCTACATCCCAGTCCTCATTTACTCTGCATTAACCTGCCTGTCTATCAGGTAAGAGACTTATCTGGGATGCTCCTCATTATCTTGTGCTCGCACACACATCCTCCACACAGCACAGTAATGATCATCATTGTAATAATAATAACAGGTAACATTGTTGAGTGCTTTCTGTGTTTGTAGACATATAGTCTTATCTACAAGCACTCTATATATGTTTTCGGATTTGGCCATGACAGCAGCCCCACAAGGTAGCCAAGGGCCTTCACGATCCCCATTGAACAGATGAGGCACCCAAGGCAAAGTCATCAGTTCCTTGTCTTAGGTCGCACACCTTCCAAGTGGTGGGACCCAGACTCTCACCAGTCAGCCTGGCTCCAGGCCTGCGCTCAGACCACCGCACTGGGCATGTTTTTCACCAGCCCTCGGTGCCGCTGATGGCCTGTGAGAGGGTACAGGAACCCTCCTTCCACGATGTCTGGGTAAAGGAATGATTGTAAGGAACTGTAGCAGGCAGGTTGTCTTCTGGGAGTAGGTGGAAGTAACAGTTGGTGGGCCATACAGTTTGCTTCGCACAGCCACACTGTGAGGTGTGAAAACCCACTCAGGGAGGGGCAAACACTTAGAAGCCACAGTGAGTTCGCATTTACATGTGGACTGGATAGATTTGTCAGTTTATAGGCAGCTGAGGATCTGGGAAAGTGTAACTCTGCCTCTAGCAAGTGGCTCCAAATATCCTAGACCTGCTTCTGTTAGACACCAGGACATATGTGTGTGACCCTGTGGAACGGTGCTGATGGAGTGAGGTGGGGAAAGGGCTCCTCGGCCCTGTGCCAAGACCCTCACCTGTGTACCTGTTGCACATCCTCTGTCTCTTTCTCTGCAGTGGTGGTCAGAGACCTATTGCAGGTGCTCGGCCCATTTCCTTAAGGACCCATGTGAGCCCTGGGAGGGGTCCCATGACACAGAGGCAGCAAGGCACTTCAGGCACCCAGATGGGCCAAGTCACCCTGATGTCCAATGGGTGACCGGATCCATGGTCACCTGGCCCTCGCATCCTGCATCCTTATTCCCCACAATTTTCCCAGGTGCTTCTGACTTCTCATCACAGACCCAAGACATTCTAGCTGCCAGCAGTATTTTCCCCCAATTTAAAACCTAAATATTTTCTTTAAGAATGCATGTAGGAATTATACGTATAGAGGGAAAATGCAATTTCTTTTAAAGAAGACTCATATTACATTTGTCATGTTTCTTTCTGTCTTTTAAGAGATACACTATATTTATATGCATTTATAGTTTTACGTTTCCAGAATACAGTTACTATTTTTTAAAAAGCTTAGATAAAACTGACTTTTAAACTCAGAATGGAGTCCAGGAAATGTTGACAGAATTACTTCATGAATATTTAATAACTGTATTGAACAGCATTATGCATTTGAATTTATTGTATTTATGTAATGATCTCTTCCTAACAGGGAAAAATTGAGGAAGCAGTGACTGCATTTGAAGAACTAATTCGTAAATACCCCCAGAGTCCACGGGCGAGATATGGGAAGGCACAGGTATTCTAGAACCCTTCAACTTAGATCATTGTGGGGGATGTCCTTGTGTTCTGTATAATTGGATTTCTGATTGGCCACTATTTGCATTTTCTTGTTCCCTTCTAACTTCTATACAGAATCAATTTCTTGTGCATATGCACAAACTCAAGCAAGAAATACTGTTTTAAATAAGACAATCAATTATTGCTGTTGTATAAAGCTGAATTTAGAAATATTCCTTCCCTCCCTCCCTCCTCCTCCCCCCCCCTCCCAGTATGGCATCTCTGTGGTTTTGAAATGAAAATGAAGAATAACACTTTGGTCATTGGTTTCCCATCACCCTTCCATTCCAGCCCATTTAGACCCACATATAATTTTCACATTAGGCTCCTGAGAGCTTTTAAGAACCTCAGTTTTATAATGAGAGGTTGCAAGTGTGCTTAGGAAAGACTTTCAAACTATAAAAAGGAATATACTTATGCTCCCTATAGTTTCTTCCAGCTGGCTTCTTTCTCTCCAGTGCCCTCCTCGCTGTCCCCCGCTCCCACCGTCTCCATTTCTCTCTGACTCTGCATCGTCCAGTCCTCATTTCAGGCAGCTTTCCCACCTCCACCTGTAGCTGCATAACCCCTTGCGTGCCACACCGTGTTCGGGCCCTGCAATTGTCACGGGCTCTCCGGAGGTCTCTGTCCTGGTGGGTCTTGTATTCCAGTGGAAGACGTTTTAAAAGTTACTCAAATTATTTAGTGAAAACCCACGAAATGCCAGGCCTGTTTAGGCACCACAGATGCAGCTGTCAACAAAACATGGATGTTTATTTTAACGGCAGAGACAATGCATAAGACAAATGTGTAAATGTCTGCGCCTGTTAGTGGTGAGTGCTAAGGAGAAACAGCATAAAGCAGAGAACAGCACTGGACTGGACGTGCGAGGAGATGGAATACGGGATGGGGGCAGGGAAAGCTCTCCTGAAGAGGTGACATTTGAGCAGAGCCCTGGAAGTCTATAAATAAATGTATATTCGAAGAATGTTACAAAGTGTTAAAAATAAATATTAGATCCTCTGACATAGTAATGCATGCCATAAGAAAAGAAGGGAATGGGATAAAGAGCGCACCTGTTAAGATTTGGGGGCTGCAGGGGGCTGTAGAACACATGTGACAGGGCGGGCAGCACTTCAGATCAGGTGATCAGAAAAGGCCTTGCTAGGGAGGGACAAGTGGCTGAGAGGAGCCACGTTGTGGAAGGAGCTGGCGGGGCAGAGGGGGCAGCAGGGCAAAGGCTGTGGTGCAGGGAGGCATACGCTCCAGGACAGAACGGAGGGCCGTGGAGGGATAGTGAAGTAAGACCAGTGAGGCTAGGGCCTCCCAGGTTGCATCTTCTATGCACTGGGAAGCCACGGAGGGTTTACTGGAGGGCTTTTGCATGGATGTGACTCTATTTTCCTTTTACATAAACGTTGTGGTTGTTGAGTGGAGAATGGATTACGAGGGCAAAATCAGAAGCAAGAATAGGAGACTATTGCGAGTGCACTGGCGATGCCGTGGCTCAGGCTGTGGTCATGGCGGTGGAGATGGGGAGCTGGGCTGAGGGCAGAGCTGAAAGGACTTGATGGGTTTAGCTGTAAGGTCACAGAAAGGGGGGATTCCAGGGTGAGTCTGGGTTTCTGGTTTGGCCATCTGAGGAGAGGATAGAGGAAGATTGGTAGAGGGACAAGCTTGGGGAGGTATAAAATCAATTTGATTTTGGTCCTGTTAACTTTGTGATGCCTGTTAGACATTCAGGTGGGCATGTCAAGTAGAACCCTGGATTCACGGAGTCTGGAACTCGGGGTAAGAGCCAGGGCGGATATACACGTGTCAGGCAGTGAAGGCCCTGCCTGGTAGCTGGAGATCAATTCTCTTTTGGTGCAGAGCTACCAAAATCCTCCAGACACAGAGGAGCTTGCAGCACCCCTCCAGAGGGAGGCAGGGCCGTGACTGATGTGCGACACTCACACAGGAATTCACACATTTATGGACAAAACAAGTATGTTTTTCTCTGAACTAAAGGTGGTGACCACTCAAGATCCGGATGCTCAAATTCTCCTTACCATTGAAAATGTATCAATTAAATTTTAATGAATTAAGGTTATCAAAAATTAATGCAAATAAATTCTTCTTATCCATGTTACATACCAGGTTTAGCAGATAGCAACTGTATCATTTTTGTAAATTATTTTGGTCAGTAATCCTGCCAAATTGCCAAATTGTATTGCTATTAAACCAGAGAGAATGTGTTTCCAAAAGCTCATGCTCAATGAAATAAGTGCCACTGGTATTTATAGTCATTTGGTTAAGGAAAGCATATTAACTAGAGAGAAGATGATTGGTGCAAATGCTAATTATGGCAGAAATGCTTTGTGCTTTAGAATGTTTCTTTATATGTAGTATTAATTATGGATACCAAAATCCAAATAAATGCACTAATTTTTACACGTGGTGATTGCTATGTTTGCATCCATATGTAACAGGAATTTGAGATTTAGGCCTGAGGCAAAATTTTTTTAATCTCTAAGCTATTATGCTATAAGGTGTTACTGATATTTATGTATTGTGATGTAAAGTAAAATTTAGGTATGTTAAATTTTAATAGAATAATTTAAAGGAAGTTTTAAACGTGTAGGAATTTTAAAAACAAAAGTTCAATGGAAGATAGATTTTTTTAAAAAAAATTCTTACCCAAGGACATGGTCAGAGTAAGGAAGGACGATGGGCAGGGAAAGAGAGGGGGAGAGAGGAGAGGGAGAAACATCCTTGTGAGAGAGAAACATCAATCTGTTGCCTGGCAACCTTTTGGTGCACAAGAAGATGCTTAACCAACTGAGCCACTCCGGCCTGAATAAATGATGACTTTTTCATTCTTTGTTAGCAGATTATATAATTACTTTAGAACATCCCAACAAATTTTAAAAACTCGGCAGCATTAAGTTAAATACAAATTATAGTATGAATCATTTCTGAAATAGCAATCCCATTCTTTGGATCACTATGAAAATAAATTTTGACTTAAGTTCTCTGAACATCAGACTCCAAATCTTAGGTTAAAAACTCAATTCACATTATTCTCTTACACGAACCATTCATGTCTCTGAGGCAGAAAATGACACATCTCCTAGGAAGGTTGGATGGGTTGAGTCATTAAAAGGGTTTACAATGGAAATGTCCTGGAACCAGTGTTCAGTTCCCTGTGCGTGGAACAGAGCCCGACTCCCAGAAAATAGTTGTGGAACGAATGAATGAACGCAAGAATCAACTGATGGAAGACCAGGAATGGTGGACTGGAGACCTGTCTGTATAATGTTAGTGTATAGCATGATGTAAATCACCATCAGTCCTAGTATATATTAGTCTCAGGCTTGTTTATTTTTATATTCTTTCTTGTCTGTAGCTTAGTAGCTAACTTTTCTTCATATTATTAAAATAACATGTTGTATTGCTTTCCTTTATTTTTTTTAGTCTCTTGATTAAGAGAAAACTTTAACCTGTCTTGAATTATTTTTAAAGCACATACAAAAGTTCACTTTTCATGAATATCTTGGGTGATTATAAATATTCCTTGTCATGGGACATTTATTCAGTGTGGGACTTCCTTTAGTGTGAAGACGATTTGGCTGAGAAGAGGAGGAGCAATGAGGTGCTGCGCAGGGCCATCGAGACCTACCAAGAGGTGGCCAGCCTGCCCGAGGTCCCCGCGGACCTGGTGAAGCTGAGTTTGAAGCGGCGGTCAGACAGACAACAATTTCTAGGTAAGATGGAATAAGAGAAGTCAGTTCAGTCCCACAGGCCATGCTTTTACCTTGCAGAGCCTGTGCGCTCTTAGAAGAATCTAGTTACATGGAAGGAAACCTGAGTTCCAGAACTAATTCCAGGCCATTTACCCGACTGTTCCTTAGACTGAAATGGAAATCCCAACCTTGATCATTACAAAGATGCCGATGCTATTTTTATCACCCTTTGCTCCTCACCCCACCCCACCCATTTTAAAACAGAGGTCAATCGGAGGCCAAGCGGCTGAATAATTTGCCTAAGGAGTTATTGCTAATAAATGAATAGGTCTAGAATAAAAAACTCTTCCTGTCACGCCAAATCTCTTTTCTCTTAAACTAGAACAGCCTGATTCATGAAGGTTAAAATGATCAGTGGGACCATTTTTGTAGCGGAATATTAAGAATTTTAGGCACTCTAAAATTTTACTTGTAAGGTTTAACTCTATAGCAAGGAAAATGTTAGAAAAAAAATTTTTTAAGTCACTAAGTGCTTTGAAAAGATCAGCATAAAGCATATTCTCTGCGTGACCCAGGCTCCCAGAGCCGAGGCAGGAAGACCGGCTGTAACCTCCCTTCACTATCACCAGGCTGTGGTCCTCTCCCTCCTAACGTGTAAACCGGGAAGGCGGAACCTCAGCCCGTGCTAAGGTGGGTGCTAGGCTGGCTGGGTCCGTCACATGAATGAATTACCGACGCCCCTAGGAGAGACTCGTGTAAGTAATATTCAAGACAAAATGACCTTTTTATCAGCTGTCTGGGGGATGGAATTAAAGGTCGTATGTCACTTTGGTAGATGACAGAAACCTCTGATAGAAGATGGCCCAGGTGATGATTAAAAACAGAAGAACTGGTCAGTTAAACTTATATTCCTAAGGATCCCTTCTGGGGAAGAAAAGAGTTCGGCCCACATACAGGTGGAGGCGGCGAAGCTGGGGCTCAGGGAGAGGCACTCGTGTTGGGGGCAAAGTCCATGTGACTGAGCTCTCCTCTTGCCTCGGGCTCCAGTATGGCATTGGTTACTGATTTGGTCCTTAAATTTACATTAATTTTGATATTTTAAAGGAAATGCATAAAAAATCACTCATCTAGATTACTGAATTTTGGGGCACCCTCTTGAACTTTGGTGCCTCAGGGCCTTGTTCTCGTCCCAGCCCTGGCGGGGAGACTGCCTGGGAATAAATCTAGCCCTCTAACACAGCAGTCTTTCTTAGTCTCTTCCTCTGAGTGAGGAGGAGGCTCTGTGAGGAGGGATTGTGGCAGAAGATGTCAGTGAAGGGGATGCAGGGACGAAGTTCACCCCCAGTGGAATAGGGTCCCATGATGCAAAGTGGAAGGGATTGGTGGTGGGGGGGGGTGGCGCGTAGCAGCAGGAGGAATTTTCACCTTGGGCTTTATAGTGATTCATAGGGAAGGTTCAGAAACAGAAGAAAGTGTGACGTTAGCCTGGGTTGATGGGCGACAGAAGGGATACTGAGTCAGACCTGTCAATGAAGGAATGAATAGCTGAGCAAACCCAGATTACAGCTAGGCCAGCAGTGGGGAGCCAGCCTCAGACCAATGGGTGATGTTTCGTGCCAAATATTTTATCTGCTGGTGGGGCATTAGCTATTGATGGTCCTAAATGCTCGGGCTAATATTCAGTTTGTGAGCAATTGAGCCCTTTAGGTAATTAATTGTGTCATGTATACTAGTCTTAATTTTATACATTTTCTCATACTCGGTGTGTCTTCCCAACTTCAGCAAGGAGTAATGACAATTGGCCCCAGAAATTTTAAATTTCCACCAGATAGCCTTAAAAATGAATTGAAGCTAGGGTTTCCATGACTCACGCATGCGTAGCATCCTGCCGTCCAGCAGAGGGTCCCATAACACTGGATGATGTCTCCTTTGCTGAGTGAATAGGTCCCCACCTGGAGATGAGGACACTCTTCATGGGAAACAATGTCAGCAGGGTACCTCCAGGCCTCTTCCAGCTTCAAACAGGGTGCTAGACCCCGAATCAGTTAGATTTTTAATTTGTTCACTATTCATATTTTTAAAATTAATTGTAATAAATGAAAAAATCTCAGTAAAACTTTCCTTTACAAGGAATTGGTAACGGAAACTTTCTTAAGATTGAATTTGATGCCGAAACCGGTTTGGCTCAGTGGATAGAGTGTCGGCCTGCGGACTGAAAGATCCCAGGTTCGATTCTGGTCAGGGGCATGTACCTGGGTTGCGGGCATATCCCCAGTGGGAGATGTGCAGGAGGCAGCTGATCGATGTTTCTCTCTCATCGATGTTTCTAACTCTCTATCTCTCTCCCTTCCGCTCTGTAAAAAATCAATAAAGTATATTTTAAAAAAAAAAAAAGATTGAATTTGATATAAAAAAGCAAATGTTAATGAATTTAGAAAATAGGAAGGTCTTTACGTTTTTCCTTTTTAAATTACATTTATTGGGGGGACATTGGTTAATATGATCATATAGGTTTCAGGTGAGGGTTTCTATGTTATAAAATTATATATATATGACGGGAGAAGATTTGACTTTGAGTGGTGGGCACACAGGGATGTATTTAGAGTGTTTATAATCAGTATTATATTTAGTGTCTATAGGAGATACCGTTGCAACTGCATGATGAAATCCTAATAGGTACTTAGCCATCCATAGAGTTGGATTTGAGCTGGTCTTCGGGCTCCGGTGAATAGTCTGTCTTGATTTTAGTCTCACTATAAAAGTGTATGTAATCTGTTTTTATTTCTATTGGATTTTTTTTTCTCTTCCCACCAAATCAGGTCACATGAGAGGCTCTCTTGCTACACTTCAGAAATTAGTTCAACTATTTCCTGATGACACTTCCTTAAAGAATGACCTTGGAGTGGGGTACCTGCTGATAGGAGATAATGAGAATGCCAAGAAGGTTTATGAAAAGGTGAGCAAGCAGTGGTCTTCTGTTAACTACATCAAATTATTTGAACATGATGTTCTAATGTTATTTGTAAATTGCATTTAATACACCCAATCTCTCACTCCCTTTATTTTAAACTAGGGGCCCAGTGCATGAATTCATGCACCTTGAAAGGAACTGTGGGTTGCGAGACTACGGTGGGCACCGGGGCGGGTCTTGGCCCATCCTCCGCACCCCTGCTGTGGCCCCCGGTCCCATCTGCCAGCAGTCCCGCTCCTGCCGCCACCGCTCCCACACACTGATAGCACCGGCCCTGCTTGCACCCACTGCCAGCATGGAGCGATTGGGGCCAGTGCCAGCAGCAGGTGCAAGCGGGGCCGGCGCTGTCAGCGGGTGTGAGCAGTGGCTGCTGCCCTGATTGCCCCTCAAGAGCAGGGTGGGGTGGAGAAGCCCTCAGGGACAATTGGGGCAGCAGCTGCTGCTGACAGAGCCGAGCGATCAGGGGCTGGCACCGAGCGCCGGCAGTGGGTGCGAGCAGCAGGGGTGAGCAGTGGGACTGAGGCGCGCAGGGGCGCCGAGCGGTCGAGGCTGGCACCGGGCGCCAGCAGCGGATGCGAGCAGCAGCTGGCACTGGCAGCAGGTGTGAGTGGCCAGTGGTACTGTGGTGCACAGGAGCAAAGAATTTTCAGTAACCACCAGAGGCTCACCCCGATGACAGTGACTGGTGCCCCGCCTTGGTCTGGCGCCCCTGCTCACCTGCTCCACCCTCCTGCCATGGCCAATGCCTGCCATGTTCCCTGCATGCCCAGTGGTGGTCAGCGCGCATCATAGCGACCAGTTGTTCAGTTGTTCCGCAGTTCGGTCTATTTGCATATTAGGGTTTTGTATATATAGATTAAGTTAAATGGCATGTATTATGATAGTTGACATCTTCTTAGTATTGTTTTCACATTGCCTTTTTCCCCTTGATCAGAAGAATTTAGAGTTTAGTTGATACTTGGTACATCAAAACCTTCAATCTATCATTGTGGTACCTTCAAAACTTCATCTTTATTGGTCCACAAACAGCCTTTCTAAAAGTGTGCTCTTTGCTGGAAGAGGAACTGGAGTGTTTCAGGAACATAAAAACACACTCTTTTCCTTTTTTCACTAGAAGTCTGGTCTAGAGAGAGGCTACAGAGCATGAGTTTCTTGGGCATGTGGAGTAAATGACTCACCTCTCAGAGGGCACGGACTCTGTTCCTCTAGCAACGATGCCTTTAAAATGATTTCTACCTTGTAATGGATGTTTTCATAAATAACCTCTAGGCCACAAGTAACTATAAAATCTAGAAAACTGTGACTCCTTCAAGCAATGAGGGAGTTCACTTGGCATGGAGTAAACAGGATGCCAAATGAACTCGAAGCCAGAGAAAGTTAATGCCTCAGTAAGAGAGCGATGAACACATCTGTCTATGGGTTTCCAGCTGGTGCTCTTTACATCAAAACACTACTCTTCAGGGATAGTCAGTAGGATTCCTTCTGTTTTTAAAATGCTGGCAAGTGTAGTGTAGTGAGTTCAGCCCAGTCTGGGGACTGGTCGCTCATAAAGTGGTGCTTTCTTCCTTTTATTGCTGTCGATGCTTCATTGAAAATCATTGAATTTCGGAGCTATTGTCTTTTCACCCTGACCATAACTTTTTTTTCTATTCTGAGAGAACATAAATAAGACCTTTGCTTTTTATAGCATCTTGAGTATCTACGCAAAGTGGATTGATCCTGCATCCACTAACATACCTGATCCAGATCATAAAACATGTCCGTCCATGTGGGGCATTGTATTTGCGAATGGCCTAAACATGACACCCAGTGCCCTAGGTGGTTAGGGGATGCGTGCTGCATCTCAAGGATTCAGAATTGTATGAATGTAAGAATTGTCCAACTATATCCAATATGCCCATTGTTCTGCCAGTGCCAGTGGCCAATAAGATGGAATTATAGGATTCCTTCTTTCCTTCCTTCCTTCCTTCCTTCCTTCCTTCCTTCCTTCCTTCCTTCCTTCCTTCCTTCCTTCCTAAAATCATGAACAGGTATTGTCTGAGTTCTAAGCACATGTGAAGTTAAGTCAGTATCTGAAAACATTCCAGTTTCTCTCACTCACTATGGATTTTTCCTTCCTCGCCTTTTCAAAATCTTCCTTGAATACATTCATTTTTTTTTTTTACTTGATACTAAATCTCAGATACTGCAGCGTTTTACTTCATCTTGAAAAAATAAAATTCCCCTGCTGTTGTTTATACATTAGAAATCATAATCCCATCTGAATAAGCACAACAGGATGCACAAAGTCTAAACTATAGTTGTCTAATACAACTGAGTGGGTTCCCTTTTAAAGACACATTAATAGACTGAAAATACATGTGTGGTTTGCCTTTTATTCTTTCACTTCAGAGTTAATAAGCTGTGTCTAATGGATTCTCTTTCCTTAACCACAGTTTATCCTGATACGTTATGGCTCAAAGATCATTTCCAGAAAACTGATAGTGTAATTGTATATTTTTTCATTTGATTTTTATCTTTAAGTAAATTTATACATTTTCCCTTTCTGGGTTTTTGCTGCATTTAGTTTCAACAAAGACCAACTTTAAAATGGTTAGATTTAGGTTGTTCACACCTGCAGCTTTTGGAGGTGCTCCTGTGTCTCCCTCCTCCCTCCGTGTCACCCCAGTAACCCTCTAAATTCTTCCTACTCAGGTATTGCTTTGCTTATTCAATGCATCTTTATGTAAGCCACCACAGAAGCGTGGGAATTGGTAGCTAACGGTACAAACACAGTACAGTGGAGCCTTGACTTACGAGTGTCCCGACTAACGAGTTTTTTGAGATACCAGCTATCTCTCGGCCGATTTTTTGCATTGAGTTGACAGAGTAATTTGAGTTAACGAGCTCGGTCTCTGAACGAATTAAACTCGTAAGTTAAGGCCCCACTGTATGTCTTCATAGGGTCTACAATCCAGTACTCAATCACTAATTCCTCTTTACTTTCTGAATATCTATCAAATCCCTTCCATTTTAAACAGATTTATCCTGTCTAGGCCTGACTCCTCCGCATTCATCCACACCAGTCACAGATCTGACCATCCATCCTCAGCTTAACTCTTCAGTGGTTCCCATTGCCAAGCAGTGGTCTTGTGTAATTCCAGTAAAAAATATTCAAGCAGCCCTCACCGGTTTGGCTTAGTGGATAGAGCGTCAGCCTGTGGACTGAAGGGTCCTGGGTTCTATTCCGGTCAAGGGCACATGCTTGGGTTATGGGCTCGACCCCCAGTGTGGGGCGTGCGGGGGGCAGCTGATCAGTGGTTCTCTCTTATCATTGATGTTTCTATCTCTCCCTCCCTCCCTCTCTGAAATCAATTTAAAAAATATTCAGGCAAATACCTGCAAAATGCATATTTATGTATGTGTATGTACTAATTTATGATGGACGTTGTAAAAGCTACTCCAAAATACTTCAATATTTCCAATATTTTTAAAATGTTATTTAACTTCCAAATATTTTCATTCTCCCTGGAAAAAAATTTTTTAGTAATATCAGTGTGTAATGCTATTATGATTACTAGTATATGATTTTTAAATTTCTGGTAATGTCATGCACTTTGTACTGTGACTAGAAATGTCAGCTATACCATTTTTTGGTTGTGTATGTGTGTAAAGAGAGAGAGAGAGAAAATTTGTGTTATATTGTTAATATTAACATCAGTCTGGGGTTCTTAGAAATCTTATAGAGCCACTTGTCCTTTTCTGAGCGTTTGTTGATTACAGCTGGATAATACAGCCTGCACATCCCTCATGTACCTGCGTGTGAACTGCAGCAAGCACAGTGGGTGATCCTAGCAAAGCAAGCAGGGAGGCAGCTTCTGATTGCCTGATCGCCCACCCTCCCCTCGATCGCAAGTGTATCAGAGGGACATGGGACACTCTGCCATGCAGATGAGAGGAGAGCCCTGGAGTCTGTTGCCTACTAAATATTACATTTCAAAGACAGGCAAACAGAGGCATTTTAATTTTCTGCTCCCCGGTAGATTATCTTGATCATGCAACTAAACAGGAGCTTTTGTTTGTGTGTGTGTGTGTGTGTGTTTTCTTTTAATAGGAGCTTTTGTGATCGGCCTTCTGCTCTCTCTATCCCCCAGGCTCCCTTTCCCTGATGAACTCCTATTCATCCCTAAACGCCTTTCAGATATGGCCCGGCCACACCCACCCCAGGGTGAGCTAGGTGCCCCTCCGCTATACTCCCTGCATGCCTCATGCCTATCGCTATAGCTACACTTACCACATTGCACTGCCATTGTCTGCTTCCGGGCCAGTCTCCCTGCCTTGACTGAGAGCTCCCTGAGAAAAGGGAGTATATCTCATTTATGTGTATATGTCTGGAGCCGAGAAGAGGTCTGTGTGTTCTACACTATCTAGTGAAGGAGCACCTTTGCTGATTACTTGAGATGACAGCTGTGTGTCTAGAGGAAGCAGAAATGTCATCTGTGTAGCTGTACTTTGTATAATAATCCCTTCAGAGTTATGCTACCGGAAACATGCTCGGCCTCCATCCGCTTCAATTCCGGGGGCATTTGTGGAGCTCTTCTCAGCACCCCGCCTGGGAACAGGTGCTGGGAAGGTGCGGCCGCAGAGCCTGCTTTCAGAGCTCTCACTGGGGAGGAAAGCAGCATGCACCCATCCGCTCAGTCAGTGCAGACTTTTTCCAGCATGCCATGTGCCGGGCACTGTTCTAGCACTGGGGATCGGCAGTGAGTGCAACAGACACAATCCCTGTACAGCTTACTTCGTAGTAGGAGGGTGGAATAAATAATAAGTCAGATGGAGATCCAAATCGCTATAAATAAAGAGGAGTCAGGATAAGGAGTCAGGATGGGGAGAAGGGGGTCTGTTTTATATCTGGTGGTTGGGCGTAGGCCTCACTGAGATGGTAACCTTTGATCAAGGACTTTATGGAAGTCGGGGAGTGAGCCATGTGGACATCTAGAAGACTGGAGCAAAGGAGCGCCACAGGTGCAAAGGTCCTGAGGCAGGCATGCGTCTGGCTTGCATTTCAGCATCAAGGAGTCCAGAGTGCCTCAGAGTAGCTGGTGGGAGGCGGGTAGGAGAGGAGGCCAGAGAAGTAGATAGGCCAGTTCAAGGGGGGCCTCGGACGCTGTTCCTAAAACGTGGGCTCACTCTGAGTGAAGTGGAACCCTTTTGGGTTTTGAACAGAGTGGGGATGACATCTGACCTAGGATTCGTGAGCCCATTCAGGGCCCCGGGTGGAGAATGGGTGATGTAGAGCAGGGCTGGGGTGCAGGTAGGGGAGAGGTGAGACTCGGACCAGGGTGTCAGTGGTGAAGAAGGAGATAAGGGGTATGATTCTGAATATATTTTAAAGGTGGTGTTGTCTGGATTTGCCGATGGATGAGCTGTGGGACTGGATGCAAGCTGGAAAATGCTAAAGTATCCGGGCCCCCTCTCCTCACACTTATCCTTCCGTGTAAGGAACCCTTCATGGCTGTGCACCCCTTTCCTACTTGGGCTCAAGTAGAAAGAGAAGCTACGGGATATTCACTCAGCCCACACCTTCTTCATCTTTCACTTTTGTCCTGTAAATTAGTTTGTTTAAGCAGCTCTCCAAGTTGAATGTTATTGTTTTGATTTCTCACTGCTAATATTTAATTTAGAGGCACTTTGCATAATTAATCTTTAATCATAATAAATGCATATGATAAACCATAATTTGATTTATTTTAAATATTTACCCGGGTTTTATCACAGAATATTGGATTTGTTCACCACTAGACCTTAGCCCGACCAGTGTGGCTCAGCGGTTGAGCATTGACCTATGAACCAGGAGGTCATGGTTCGATTCCAGGTCAGGGCATATGCCCAGGTTGAGGGCTTGACCCCCAGTGGGGGGGCGAGCAGGAGGCAGCTGATCAATGAGTCTCTGTCATCATTGATGTTTCTATCTCTTCCTTTTACTCTCTGAAATCAATAAAAAAAATATTTTTTTAGAAAATGGCTAGACCTTCAAGAAATTTACGTTGAATCAGTGGATCATGATATATTACAAATGCAAACTAAGTTTTCTGTTAAGGTAATGTATAAGGCATGTATGTAAAGAAGTGTATAATCATTCAGACTTGACTTTAAGATAGCAAATGTAGTTTTTCTTGATTACTAAAAATATATTGAAGTCATAACAGTCGACAGATGTTTTGCTTATTTGCATTGTTAAAGTAACACTCTAACAGTCATTGCCTTTTCACAGTTATTCCTTCATTTTTCAAGAACTAATGTGTGGGTGTGAAAGCATTGAGTTGAGAGGAAATGAGGCCATTTAAGCTTAATATATTGCAATGAAACTAAACACTACTGTTTTAAGCTGTAGCGTCATGATCCAAGTAGAGCAAAGCTAATTAGAATTTGTTTTGACAGTCATTTGTAGAATTTGTAGTCAATCACAGTAGCTTCTTTTTCTCTTTGAGTTTAGGTTCTGAAAGTGGCGCCAAATGATGGCTTCGCTAAAGTACATTACGGCTTTATCCTGAAGGCCCAGAACAAGATTGCAGAAAGCATTCCCTATTTGAAGGTAACTGTCCCAGCCCTTGCTCTTTGTTCATTTTCCGACTGTTCTGAGTCAATCTATGCATTGTACATTTGCACTGCTGAGTCTTTTTATGGTGAAAATGTAAATCTTCTGACCATGACATTCATAGGCCAGTGTGGACCTTCACTGTGGTTGAGAGTATCCAATGTAGAAACACTGACTGTATGAGCAGTGACTCCTGGAAAAGACTTTATGAAGAAATTTCTAAAACTGAAGTGGTTATTGGTTTTTATTGAAACTTAAAGGTAGACCAAAGTTACTGACATAATATTTTTAAATATGGGCAATGAATTAAATGATTGAAACTAGTTCGAATAGGGCTCAGGACAGCTTATACAAAGTGAGGTAAAAAATGCACACCGAATAGGTCAAACTCCAAAAAGCCTGGTAGCTCAAAATACTCAGATTAAAATATGCTGTCATTTTTTCCCCTCACATCCAGTTGAATCTTTGTCAGCTGGCTAGCATCACATTTGGTCAAGCTCAGGGCTACCGGTGGAACTGCCTGCACAGTGGAAATGTCCTCTATTTGTCCTCTCCACTCTAGTAGCCACTGGCCACACGTGGCCACTGAGCACCTGAAATGTGGCGAGTATGACTGAAGAATTGAAATTTTAATTCTAATAAATTTTAAATTAAATAATGACATGAGCCAGCAGCTACCATATTGGACAGGTAGCTGATTGAATGTCAATGAACTTTTTTTTTTTTTTTAAGTAGTAGTATATTATAATTTTATGATCTCTTATAACACAGGGCTTAAATCAGAGGTACCAAATAACAGCCCATGGATCACAAATAGCCTGCACGTTATATTTGGCCAACATAACTCTTAAAACAATTTTAATTGCTTGCCTGTGTTGAGAATCTGAACATTTTATATAATTATGCAGATTTCTGGTTTCTCATAAAAGGTCATATCTCGCCCACATCCCAGCACGAGAGTGAGGTGGGCGTGCACCCCACAATCTGTCTTGGCTGTCACTGGGCCTCTGCAGATTTTCCCATCCCCTGCCACGACCCTGTGGGCATGTGCGTTTCTCTGACTTAAGGTGTTCCCCTTAGGTTTCCTTTGACACAGTCAGGGCCTAGCAGGACTCTCCCTGCTTCAGAGATGGGGAAATGGGGGGCAGGGTGGTCCATTAGCGACTGAGGACATTTATTGGGGTGTCTCTCAGTCCAGAACCCTGATCACAGCTCTGCTTCTCTCCGGTTTGTTGCAGCTACTCCTCAACATTATGCACATAAAATTTCTTCCCAGGAAAACGGGCTTCTTGTGAAAAAGCCTCAAAGATGGAGATTTTTAAAAGGAAATCCTTGATATTGAAATATTTTTATACCTTTGTCCTTTTTTTATTTTTTAAAGTTTATTCTCTTGCTTTAATATTTTCTCTTTTTACATAAATCTCCATTTCAGTCCTTATGGGGGAGATGGAGATAAATATCAGCTAAGTGTTTTATAATAAGACTTGTTTAATAACAGTTAGATTCTCAGAGATTCCAATTCGCTTTAATCCTATCGAACGTTTTATAAAATACTTTGTTAAAAGGTGAGGGCACATTTGTTTGTAGAGGGAAAAATATTACTTGCAGTTCGGCATATATGAGTAACTAAACAGTTTGGTTCAGGCATTGTTAAACAAGCCTCTAGGTGACATATGTTTAGATTTGGAAAACCAAATAAATGTGATAGGTACCCAGCCAAAGAAATTATTTGGGACATCCACAGAGACAATTCACAAAGCATCGTACTAATTTTATGGGCTAGTCTGCTGTTGATTAATGATGAATGTATTGTTAAATTTTAACTTTTACTACCTCCTTTTGGTTTTGCATTGTAAATATTGACTGGTAATCTAATTGCCAAACTTTAATGTTGAGATGAATTTGTCTGGTTCTTTGATTTTCAAATGGTATATAAAGATTAAGTAAATCGATAAATTGACTGTGGTATTCTTTCATAAATGCTAACACTGCCTTTTCTACAGGAAGGAATAGAATCTGGGGATCCTGGCACTGATGATGGACGATTTTATTTTCACCTGGGGGATGCCATGCAGAGGGTTGGAAACAAAGAGGTAATGTGTTTGTGATGTTTTTGTTCTAAAAGAGGATAGAGCAGGGGTAAATTATTTCTAAGAGAAAGTTATTTTTTTGACATGATTTTTTGAAGGTGATGATTTAAGTTTTTTTGAAACAACCCAACAACTCTTACTTAATCTTATAAAGAATTTTTCGGATTTGGCTTCTGTAGTTTCTTTCAAGAAAGTATCTGAGTGAATAATCATAAGAGCAGTCTCTAAATAGGAGTGTGTGTGTGTGAGTGTGAGTGTGAGTGTGTGTGAGCGTGCCTATGTGTCTATGTGAATGTATAGAATGGTAGACATTGCCTTGAAAAATATTTTTTAAATGTGAAATAGATATCTTTGAGATTGTTTAAGTATTTAAAAATATTTTAACAGTTTGCTTAGATTTATTTTTATTTGGGAACTTAAAAAGTGGTTATTTTAGAATGAAGTCTTTATTCAACTGATTCCTAAGCTCCCTGAACCCCATGGTTAATTGTGTAAATTACCCTGTGAAATATTTAATACCAAGTTTAAGATGAATACCTGTAGAAATACTAATAGCAGGTACTGACTCAGAAAAATGTAGTAACTAAAACAGGTTACATATTTTCTTTGTGGCTGTTGAGCGTTTTCTGGGTACAATGTCAGCTTCTTTAAAAATAACATTAGTTCGCCCTGACCAGTTTGGCTCAGTGAATAGAGCGACGGCCTGTGGACTGAAGGGTCCCGGGTTCAATTCCAGTCAAGGGCATGTACCTCGGTCGCGGGTGCATCCCCAATGGGGGGTGTGCGGGAGGCAGCTGATCGATGTTTCTCTCCCGCCGATGTTTCTAACTCTTTATCCCTCTCCCTTCCTCGCTGTTAAAAAATCAATAAAATGTATGTTTTAAAAAATAAGAACATTAGATCATTAGTCATGATGTATAAATGCCAAAAACTCTCCCAATCAGTCCACCGTGACTGACAGGACATTGCTGGCCAGTGAAGCCCACCTCCAGATAAGTGCTGCACCATCACATGGCTCCAGGCTGGGCTCTCCTTAGAGCCACGGATAAAGGGACGAAGTAGACTCTGAATTAGAAATAAGGGGGAAGAAATTGCTGATTAGCAATCGCTTTGGTGTTCCTTCATTCTTTTAGGTGTAGATGCCTGATACCTCCTTTGAACGAAAGGGATAAGAAAGATTTTGCTGCAGTGTCTTAACACTGGATAAATGTTCACGTTTGATTTCTATAAATGTAATTATTCTCACTGATTAATTTATCTTTGAACATCTCAGGGTCCAGGGCAAAGACAGATAGATCAAAGAAGTCTATGGCTTCTTCTCACATCTTAGATGAAAACAGCCCTTACTTCAAGGGCTGAACACTTGTTAGGGGCTTGGGATTTGAACCTAGGAGACTGTTGTTCTATCCGCTTACTATTAATTAATATGCACAGAAAGCACAGTTCTTGAATTTTAAAAGTTCACAAGGACTCATCCTTACAGTGGAATGAAAACAAATGGAATGTAGAAACCCCATGTTAGTATATGCTTTTTTTTTAAAATATATTTTATTGACTTTTTACAGAGAGGAAGGGAGAGGGATAGAGAGTTAGAAACATCGATGAGAGAGAAACATCGATCAGCCGCCTCCTGCACACCCCCTACTGGGGATGTGCCCGCAACCCAGGTACATGCCCTTGACCGGAATCGAACCTGGGACGTTTCAGTCCACAGGCTGATGCTCTATCCACTGAGCCAAACCGGTTTCGGCAGTATATGCTTTTTAAAAAAATACTTATTGATTAATTTCAGAGAGGAAGGGAGAGAGAGAAAGACAAAAAAAACATCAATGATGAGTGAGAATTATTAATTGGCTGCTTCCTGCACGCCCCACACTGAGGATGGAGCCTGCAATCCGGGCATGTGCCCTGACCAGGAATTGAACCATGACCTCCTGGTTCATAGGTCGACGCTCAACCACTGAGCCACACCGGCCGGGCAAAGCCCCATGTAGTATATTCTTGATGTTAGGTATGGAATCTGTGAACTGACTGTCATGCTCTGAGTTTGCCCATCAGCAAGCGGCCATCTTCATGTTCTCTGCTTGGAGCTCGGCTTCAGGCCCCCGAGAGAAGCACCCCGCAGCCCAGTGCTGCCGAGCCTGATTAAGGTTGCTTTTGAGGAAGGTTTTCCTAACGGTGTGTTCCGTATGGACAGGAGTGGGAGGAAGACAGACCATGACCATCTCAGCAGTTCACACTCAGCTGTTCCCAGCATTTTCATTACTCCCAAATTCCAGCTCTCCTCTCCCACTCAGAGTCCGATTTGTATGTCTGTTGCTTGCTTAATGCCACCACACAATGTCACGAAGACGACTCTCTTCTTCCTCTAACCCCTTTGCCTTCCTGGGTTCCATCTCTCATTTGATGACATTGCCGACTTCCCAGGATCTGGACTTGAATCAGCTCTAGCTCCTCCCTCTTCTCAGAGGCCTCCCATCTAGACAGGCCAGGATCTGAGAGTTAGCTTCCTAGTGTCTTTGGCGCCTGTGTCACCTTCCCTCTTGCTCAGTCTGTGTTGTCTGTTGTCCCCTTCCATGTAGCGATGGCTGTAAAAACCTGTCTGCTGCTTCTTGCTTTAGACTTAACTTTCATTGTCCAATACCCCCTGTTGCAAAATAAAAATCAGTTCTATTTCCAAGAGAAGACATTCACGGTCCTCCACAGGCAGGTTGCAGCCAACTGTTCGCATCACAAGTGTGTGTCTCCAGGCCCCACTGCACACCGAGCCCCAGGCATAGTGGACCCTGGCCAGGGCCACATATGACATAACCTGTTCCTTAGGTGTGGCCTGGGATTTTCTGAGTTGGAATCATTTGACGTGTAATTTCTGTGTCGTGTGTGTGTGTGTGTGTGTGTGTGTGTGTGTGTGTGTGTGTAACCATACCTGGCAATAATTTGAAGTATAGAAAACACATTTATTAAGAAGGTTCCCCCCCAGCTACTCTATTTCAGTATTCTTGGTAAGAAGTATAAAAGGGAAACAATAAAGAGGAAAATTTCAAAGGATTCTAACTTAATGTTTTTGCAAATTCTTATTGAAAAGTAGTTTAGATGTGTGTGTGTGTTTTCCCTCTGGCTGAATTCATTGGGTCCTCTGTGCAATTGAAGATGACTTTACCTTCATTGAAAATATGATTGAGGAGTAGTTGTGGAGCAGATTGTCAGGCGCTGTGGGTTATGGTTCAAGATTGTAGCCTTTTTAAACCTCAGCGTCACCATTTATAAATTGTAGATATTTGCAGTTCTTAGAAAGATCAACTGCTGATCACACGTAAAAGCAAGTAAACTGAAAAGCGTTACCGAATATATGAAGTGGTACTGCTATCACACTTGATTTTTCTAACGAGAGAATTTTCCAAGTATGAATTTGAAGACGTAAAAGTCACCATAGTTTACATTTAAAGTATATCTGGAGTTTTAGGAACATCTTTTTATCTGCTTGGTATTAAAAGGTGGTGTTTAATTGATTAAAATGTGTATTTAAAATCACTCTTTAAAAGTAATCATTAGATCAGATTTACAGTATGGAGGGGTTACTATTGATAGATCACTAGGTTGTCCTCTGCCCTGAGGACAGTGGAGTGTGCGCCTGGGGGAGACCTGTGGGGAGGGCCTCCCGGAGGGCATATGGCCCGGCATCATCTGAGGGAGACAGATGGAGCAGCGCAGTTTGCAGCCAGCTGTCCCTGAAAGGGCTAGTCTTCTTGGGGGCCAGTCATATCATGTTACAGCTAGCCTCAAGCCACAGATGTTATCCTTATGGCAGGGGGGAAAAAAAAGGAACAAAATCCCCCTTTAAAAAAAATCCAATATGGACTATCACTATATTAATGCCAACTCAGAATACAATTTCCTTTTGTCTACTTAATTTTTTTAAAAAAAGTCTCTTTTTGTTTTTTTAATTTTTTTTTATTGATTTCAGAGAGGGAGAGGGAGAGAGAGAGAGAGAGAGACAGAGAGACAGAGAGACAGAGAGACAGAGACATCAATGATGAGAATCATTGATCCGCTGCCTCCTGCACGCCCCACACTGGGGATGGAGCCCACACTGAGAATGTGCCCAGACTGAGAATCGAATTGTGACCTCCTGGTTCATAGTTCAATGCTCAACCACTGAACCACACCAGCCTGGCTTGTCTACTTAATTTAATGGAGGAGGATTTACACTGTTTCCTTGGGTGGCCTTCCTAAATGCGGACACAGAAAGAAAATACATGTGAAAAGAGGAACTCTTGATTTTAGAATTCTAATTCAATAAATGCAGATATCTTTGAAGAAATTAGCAAAATCACAATTCTTTTAAAAGGAAACTCAAAAACAGAATTTAAGAAATAAAAGCTAGACTATATAGTCTACGTCAGTGTCTAAAATTGTTTATTACTCAACAAGTAAGTCCTTGACTCTACTGAACATAGAGAGACCAGAGTGCATGCAGCATGAATCCTGTGTTAAAAGACCACACAGCCTCAGGCTGGAAATAAAATCACACATTCACTTATCATAATGGGTCATAACCAGGGACCCAATACAATAACAGTCTTCACCAGTGTAACAGGTTTGGGCACGCCTGACCAGCAAGCTCTTTGTTTAAATGTTGCAAAGTAATACTTGATTATTAGTGACTTTAATTTTAAAATTAATAAAAATGCCTCGTTTGCAGTTCATTTTTCTGTTCTTTCAGGCTTATAAGTGGTACGAGCTTGGGCACAAGAGGGGCCATTTTGCATCTGTTTGGCAGCGCTCGCTCTACAACGTGAATGGACTGAAAGCCCAGCCTTGGTGGACCCCAAAAGAAACAGGCTACACTGAGCTGGTGAAGGTGAGTGTTAACTCAGACTGTCTGTTTCCTACTCACAATCAAGATGCTTCCGTGGAAAAGAATGTCAGGGCAGAGAGAGAGTTTATATCCAGTGACATTAGCCAAAAGTTCAGTTGAGATGGTGAAGAAAGAAATTTTCCTTAAAGAGCGGTTCTCACACACTTTGGCTTCAGTACTCCCTCATACTCGTAAAAATGATTGAGCAATCTTTAGATAAATGTTTTACGTTTTTCCCATTTTTGTTTTCAAGAACATCTTGAATAAAATGCGTCTGTAAAACTTTAGTGATTAATGTGGTCTACTTGGGGAAAAGAAAGGTTGCAATGTGCTCTCAATGTACTTACATTGAGTAAGTCTTACCTGACCATGTTTATTCTGTGTTTCACTGTAAAAACACACTTTATAATCATCATAAACTAATTGTGATCCATAACAATCATCACAATCCAGTGTAAAGTCAGCTGCCATCAGTTAGCCTCTGGGTATCTTATTAATCAGAAAAGCATGGTGTGGCGACAGTGAATGCAGATTGCGTTAACGTTGTTCTATTCCCAAAGCAGAAACAGTCTAGGGAAAATAGCGTCCCTGATACAAGTATATGCTACCTTTAGCGTTGTTGCCGGTGATTCTTTTCTTTGGAAAAGTCCATCCTCTCTCAGATTGTATCACACTGAGCTCTTCTGGTTCTCCCTCTCCCAGCAAATCTTTTTCTCTTGGTCTCTTTGTGAGTTTATTTCTCTACTGTAGCTTTTAGGATGCTTTCAAGTTCAGGTAACAGAAATGCAGCATGACCCTGGCTTACACCAGGAGGAATCTGATTTGCTCCTGTGAAGGAGGCCTGCGGTAGGGCAGACCTCGGGGCTGTGTAATTGGGGCAGGTTTTCCTGTCTGTGCGCCTCCCCCGCGGTCAGCTTCGTCCTAGTGCCAGCTTTCTTCCGATGGCTGCCAGCAGCAACTAGAATGGGGCGACTGGGGAGAGTTGGAAAGGATTTGGGGGCTTCTTAACATTGTTCAGCACCATACCAGCCCTATATGGCCTTCTAGAAACCTCTAAGCCAGTGGTTCTCAACCTTCCTAATGCTGTGACCCTTTAATACAGTCCCTCATGTTGTGGTGACCCCCAACCATAAAATTATTTTTGTTGCTATGAAAATTTAGTAATTTTGCTACTGTTATGAATCATAATGTAAATATCTGATATGCAGGATGTATTTTCATTGTTACAAATTGAACATAATTAAAGCATAGTGATTCATCACAAAAACAATATGTAATTATATATGTGTATTCCGATGGTCTTAGGTGACCCCTGTGAAAGGGTCGATCAACCCCCAAAGGGGTCTCGACCCACAGGTTGAGAACCGCTGCTCTAAGCAGACTCTGTTCTGTTGTTCATAACCATGTCACATGGGTACTCACAGTTATAAGGGAGTCTGAGAAACCAAGTAGCTGGCAACAGGCTGAGGGAACAAGTTTGCAGCAGGAAAAAGACTGTTGTCCTTCTCCTTCCAGCAGGGAGCAAAAGGCTTTCCCTTCTGTCTGATTGAGTCAACTGAAGTCACATTTCCGCTCTGGATGAGTTATTGGCAAGGGGCTATGAGATTTTCCTTAAAACAACAGGTCAACCTGGAGCAGGGAAAAGGCCATATTCCTCTACATTCAGTGGATTATCTGCAGGAGGGTGGATATCTGGACTAAATCAGGGTCCTGTGAGGAAGGAGAAAGAGGCACAATGGATGCTGGGAAGGTGACCTAGTGTTCAGTGCCCTCGCTGACCTAGGTGTGCTCTCGGATCCAGACGTGGATCCTCACCCAGGCATTAACATCTTAAAGTGGAAACCTTCTAAATCTGGTAGCCACCGTGTTTAGTCAATCCTTTTAGGATTATCACCCACATTCAGTTTTTTCTGTGACAATTAACTGCCATGGATGGTACATTTTCATTTAAATTATCCTCATTGTGTGTTCCAGGGAGATGTAGAGGGCCATTTTCTTGAAGGCATGAAGGGATGAGACAATGTTAGTAAAAGTCATCATTTGTTTTCCCCTTTTGTTTAATGTCATAGTTGCCCTTTATTGTGTACTTTGCCATTTGGGGGGTGTGGTGGGGGGGATGAGAGACTATGCAACTCAATGAAAAAGATTTAGAGAAAAATATTCCACTGGAGTTTTTTCTTTTAGGTATGTGCTCGTTAAAATGTAGTAGGTGGTTGTCCAAATCACAAATGTCAGAGCCCTAAGTGCCTTGGGGATATTTAACATAGATATTGAAACAAAAATGGATTAAAGTCTTTGCTAGGATATAAAGAGAAACGAGAAAAGAAATCTCTTCTAGTGGGGAAAAAAGCCATCATACCTTGAGAAAGTTGCTCTTCCTTTTTTTGAGATTATTCTTTGATCCGCCTTATTCGGAGGTGAATTTAGATGTAAACATGCATGCATAGGAAGAATATGGAAAACCAACAGCCAAGAGCAACGGGAAGCCATTATTTAAAACATCCCTTTTGTATTTGTTTTTCCTGCTATCTAACTCTGTCCTCCATTCATCCCTGGGGGAAAAGAACGTCCTTGAATCCTTTGAGTATTTGGGGTTTCCGAACAGCCGCTCAGATATAAACAGATAAGTTTTCCTTTCCTCATATTGTAGTTTTATTTCAGTTAGAGGTGGGCCCGGTAATATTTTGCCGATGGTGTGACACAGTACTTAAGAATGATTGATTAGAATGATAAGGCTCTCTGTCATTTGCCTTCAGACTGGAGCTTTTATTAAGAGATCTATTGTGTATGAATAACGTCACCTGGACGAAGAAGAAAAGGAAGACATACAGTAATAATAACATTAGTGGTTCAACATTTCTAGCGGTGTGATTAAATATTTGAATGTTTTCACTGAGATGAACTGGATTGAGAAAGAAGTAAAAATGTCAGATTTACAGTGCAATTAAGCTGTAAAATAAGAGGATTCGTGATTTTATAGAAAAGTGTTAAGTCTGAGGAAGTGCTGAAAACAGCGCCTCAAGATCAGCTAATAGCTTAATCCTATTTTTGTAATTCAAACTTTAGCTTTTTGGAAACCAATGATATTTTTTACTGAAAATGACAATATCACCAGGGGAGTTCAGAGAACTTGGGGAACCTGCTGGTTGTGGGCCCCCTTTTGGAAAGGAGGACTTTTTAAAGGGGGTCTACAATTAGAAGCAGGTTCCTTTCGCTCTCAGCTCTGACACCGTGGGCAAGTCATTTCACCCAGCGAAGCGAAGCCTCCATTTCTTTTATCTTTAAGTACCAAATACTGACCTCTGTTTTTACTCTCCTTTGGGCTTTTGGTAAGACTCAAAACCAAAACAAAATACAATAAAAACCCACCATCCAGGGTGTTCCTGTGTGTTGGAATGTGAACACTGCTGAGGTTATAGGACACGACTGCATGTGATGCCAATTATAGCAATAGCAAAGGATAAAATATTTCCTATTCTTTGAATTATTTCAAACTAAAAGGCTGTTTTCTTTCTCAAAGTGAAATTGGTCGGTTTTCAGTGTTTGTGAATGTGAAGGAAAAAAAAAAGATGCTAAAAATTGGCTTTATGTGTGGCTTTCTTTGGCAACTCACAGTACAGTGTTTGATACTTTAGGACAATTGCAAACTGTACCTGTAGGTTGGTACTGCATTTGCAGTTCCAAATGTTTGATTGAGTAGGTCATGATCTATGGCTGACTGCACAGACACATAGATTGATGTCTTAACCATACACATACATGTATGTTATTGGTGAAAGTGGGGTTCTTGGGGTACTGCTAGAATAAGAATTTCTGGGGGCCCCTCCGGGAGGATGACATACTGTAGAAAGCTTGATTTCTGTGGAATGAATCCCCTGGGTTTCCAAGGTCCCATTCTCCTTTGTCCCACCAAGGAACAAGTCCCAGTGTGCCTTCATCGGGGCCACAATCAAAGCCAGTGCCCAGAGTCTCCATCCCATGTTGGAGCAGAGTCCAATCCAGCATCACGCTAGCTTCTTTTGGGTTCCCAGCTGCAGTCCATTAGACCATCATGTGGGGCGTCCACATGGCCATGGAGGGAACAGGGGCAAGTGCAAAACAAGGGAGCCAAGAGGGAGAAAACTCCTTTGTCTCGGGGATTATGTATTTCCAAATTTTCATGGGCTTGTAGTGGCCTTGCCCCTCTGGCCAGTGGTCTCTGTTCCCAGGTTTGACTGACAGGCATCTTATGTCATCCTGACTTTACTGAGCATGCATCTGTCTCCCCTTTGCTGCATCCCCAGTGCTTTGCAGGGGATGGATTGGAGATTCCTTTGGAAGTGAAAAGTTGCAGCTTCCTGGTGAAGCTGCCCAAATGGCCATGCTTATAATGTCTGCCTTCCCTTCGCTCCTTTCCTATTATTAATAACTAGCTGATTACAATGGTGTCACATACGCATTATAGGTCATCTGCTTATCTGTTTATCAGGTGATATATTTTGCGTAGGCACAGAAAGCTTCCCCAGCAGACTCTTAGCTCCTTAGCTTTGTGGGGTTTGCTCCTAGCTGTGGCTCCCTCAGGACATAGCTCAGCACACTAGTCACAGTAGGTAGAGCCACGAAGACACCTTGGTCTCTCCTCTTACCTTTTTTCGACTGACATTGTTGGCCATTGTCCCTGCCAGTCTGGGCTACAGTCTGAGGACTGCGGGTCTCCTTCGCTGTCTGCGTCCCAGACACGTTTCTCCTGGCAACCTGGACTGTCTTTCCTCCTGTATCCTAGAAAAAGAAACCCTGCTTCTCCCGCTGTCTAGAAAAATTAAAATTCAGTTCTCCAGACTCTCGTCTTGCCCCCGTGCTGGGTGCCTTGAGTTATCTTTTCCCTTCAGAAAGGATAATGAGAGACTAAATAGACAAACAGACCATGTCCAGACTATACGTAAAAATAGAACCTTGACCTACAACCTGCACTGAACAGCCCGAGAAGCCAATCCCTTATCTACAAGCAATACCCCAGGAAGCCA